GATTCGATAACAAGAGAAGAGCATTGGTCAGAGTCACTATAGAACTGCCTGTAAAACATGTCGGAGACTCCTCTTCGGTACCTGCTCTTCTGCTTGCTTGATTCATCCTTCCTCTCCTGCTCTCCAGCTCACCGCCTCTGCCCAAGGAGACCTGTCTCCTTGCCGCCTCTGCCTTCCTTCTCTTGTGTGTCTCCCTCTTGCTTCCTTCCTTGTTGTGCTCTGCCTCAGTCACCACCACTTGAACGGGATCACTCCCTCACCCCTCCGGTTCCCTCCTGGTGGTGTATCACTGCGTGCTAAGAGCTGAATGTGCTAACTTCCACTAATATGAGAGAATACGAGGAAACAAGCATCGAGTGAGTGACTGTGCGTGAGTTTACCCATCCCTGCTCCAGGCTGCACATTTCCCAATGTGCGGCTCGGGGTAGGGATTTGGTTTCCCATTTCGCCCCTCGGTGCTTTCCCTCGTGATTCCAACCGTCCCTTTTCTGTTTCCCCCTCTTTTGCCTATTGCAACCGTTACTGCACTACATTCCGTGCCCTATGCTAGTGTAGCTATATATGCATTTAAGTGCATATATCCTAATATGCTATTCTGCTCCCTACACCCTTATTCTACTGTTATTGCATCTGCATAAAGTGCATATGCGGTGACAGCTGTCGGAGACTCCTCTTCGGTACCTGCTCTTCTGCTTGCTTGCTTCATCCTTCCTATCCTGCTCTCCAGCTCACCGCCTCTGCCCAAGGAGACCTGTCTCCTTGCCGCCTCTGCCTTCCTTCTCTTGTCTGTCTCCCTCCTGCTTCCTTCCTTGTTGTGCTCTGCCTCAGTCACCACCTGCCCCCTCCTGTGCCCGTGCTCGAGCAGCTTGAGCTCGCGTCACAAGACCACCCTGCTGAGGCATGCTGCCCCTCACCACGGCCGTGTTGGTCTGGTGTTCCTTCAGTCGGGCCTCTTTCTCGTTTTCCAGCACTAGTATCCCCGAGGGGCGTACTTCCTTCACCCGCCATCTCTCGGCCCCCACCCCAACGTCCAAGGTATCTTGCTTTGCTTTCCTGAGGTACACTTCCTGCTCCAGCCCCACGCCCTTCTGTACTCTCCTGCCTGCCCCTTGCTGCTGCCGCTATTCATAGCGCCTGGCATCCCTCAGTTGTGCTGTATGTAGGTTCTCCAATGCAGCCGGCATCATCACCCGCATGTACCTTGCTCTGGCTTCTGACAGCGCCACCCACTTGTCTATGGTGCCTGCCGTCACTGTGTCTGCAAGGACCCGGGTTGCCCCCACTGGCAGCACTGGCTCACATCCGTAGAGGAGGCTGTATGGGGAGTGGTCTCTCAGGGCCGCCTGTTTCCCAAACCTGTATCCTGCTGCAATCCAATGCAGCTCCTCATCCAATCCCGCTTCCTCTTCTCCCCATATGCCCTCAGTCCCCGCTTCAAGGTTTGGACTAGGCGCTCTGTCAGCCCATCGCTCTGTGGGTGGTTGCGAGAGGTGCGCCTGTGAGTGATCCCCGTCTCTTCCAGCAGCGTCTTGAATTCCCCTTGGAACTCGGTCCCCTGGTCTGTGAGGACTTCTGCACATGCCCCAAATCGGCAGATCACCTGTTCCTTGAATGCCGCTGCCACCTGCCTGGAGCTCTTGCTCAAGATTGCCCTCACTTCCAGCCACTTGCTCACATGCTCCACCATGAGCACGATGTATCTCTTACCCCCCCGGCTCAAGGGCAGTTCCCCGGCCAGATCCAAGGACCACCTGAAGCCTAGGCCTCGGATGGGCAAGGACTGCAGCTCGTCTTTAGCTTGGCTGAGGTTTGCCCTGCTCCTCTTGCATGCTTCACAGCCCTCCACCCAGCCCTTCACTTGCCTCCACATTCCTTCCCACCACCACCCTGTCTTCAGCAGCTGCACTGTCCTCTCATGTCCGTAGTGCCCCAGCTTCGTGTGCACCTCTTTGATCACTGCTTCCCTGTCGCTAGGTGCTGGCACCAACTTCCAACCATCCTCGGTTCGGATCTGCAACTGCTGCTGATACCATCTATAGTGGTGCCCCCTAGCCCTCACTCTCTCCGTCATTTCCTCATCCTCCCCTGTCTCCCCTTTCAACCACCGCATGGCTTGCTTGTCTTCCCAAATATCTGCCGGCCCCTTGCCCCCTTTTCCCCCACCCACTTCTACCTGTCTGGCCAGCAGTGTTAAGGTCACGCTCGGTTCCAGCTGTGGGGGGTTTCGGGAGAGGCCATCCACGTGCTGTAGAGTCTTCCCAGGCTGGTGCTTGATCTTGAAATCGTATTCCTGCAGCTTCATCGCCCACCGTGCGTTCGTGCCTGTCAGTCCTGGCGTCGTCATCAGCCATGTCAGTGGCTGGTGATCCGTCACCAAGGTGAACTCCCATCCCTGCAGGTACACTCTGAAATGTCCCACCGCCCATACTGTCGCTAGTCCCTCTCCTATGTATGAGCTGTATTGCGCCTCAGCCGAGTTGCAGCTCCTGCTTGCGTAGGCTACCACCTTCTCCTCCCCTTCCACCTCTTGGCAGAGTATCCCTCCCATTCCTTGGCTGCTCCAGTCGGTGTAGAGGGTGAATGGCTGGTCCGCTACCGGCAGTCGTAACACGGTTGCCGTCTTCACTGCTGTCATAAGGTCCTGCAGGGCTCCCTTTTTATCCTCCCCCCATTCCCACGCCCTATCCTCCCTCAGCAGCCCATTCAACGCTGTTGCTCGTTTGCTGAAGTTGGGCACGAACCTCCTGTAGTAGCTAAGGAAGCCTAACACCGCCCTCAGCCCTGACTTGTCCTTTGGCTCTCTCAGCCTGTCCAATACCTCTACCTTAGCCTGCTGGATCCCAATCTGTCTTCCCTTCACCTCGTATCCCAGGTACTGCACTGTCTCCTCACCCCACCTGCACTTCTTGGGGTGACATGTGAGTCCTGCTGCTTCTATTGCTGCGAGTGTCCTCTCCACATCTTGCAAGTGCTGCTGCTCGGTGGCACTGAAGATCACTACGTCGTCTATGTAGCATGCCGCACACTCCACCTCCCTCAGCACCGCATCCATAACCCGCTGAAATACTGCCGATGCGTTCCTCAGCCCGAATGGCATGTACAGCCATTCGTACAGCCCATCCGGCCCATGGAAGGCCGTCTTCTTGATGTCCTCCTCCCTGATCTTGATTTGGTTAAACCCCTGCCGCAAGTCCAGCGTGGTGAAGAAGACCCCATCCGCCAGCTTGTCAAATATCTCTTCCGCCATGGGCATGGGATACCTGTCCGCTACTGTGATCTTGTTGAGCGCCCGGTAATCCCCGCACATCCTTCTGCTCAGGACCTTCCCCGTTAGGTCCTTCCTTGCAGCTACCACTGTGGGCGTGGCATATTCCGACTCCGACCGCCTAATCAACCCGGCCTCCAGCAGCTCCTTGATTTTCTCCTTGCAGACTTCCTCATCCCCGTGCGGCATCTTCCTCCTCTGGTGGAACACAGGCTCCGCACTGCTCAGTTTCAACTCCATCTCCTTCACCTTGCACCTTCCCAACTCCTGCAGGTTGAAGGCGAAGCACTGTCGGTGTTTGGTCAGCAGCTGCAGCATAGCTTCCTTCCCTACTCATCGCCTCCCCTACCTTCCATGCCTCTTCTTCTAGCAGCAACACTGAGGTCTGACACGCCAGCCTCTCCTGAGGGTGTCGTGCCGGCGGTGGAACCAACCCTGGATCTTCTGGTTTCTGCCCCTTATCCTGGGCCTTCCTGCTCTGCTCCTGCCTACCGTCCTTCCCCCCGCTCCTCAGCCCCATCTCCTCTCGTCCTCTCCATGCCATGAGGGCGCACTACACGTCCTGCTCTACCTCTTCTCCCTCCTCGTCTCTAGCGTACATCTCTGCCTCTGCCCCCCATCTCGGTCCCGTTGTCTGTAGCTGCGCCTGCAGCCTGCTGATCTGCCGCTGCAACTCCTCTGGGCTCCTTCTGGCTCCTCCTTCCCTCTGATAGCAATCCTTGGCCTCGTGCCCCTTCTTCTTGCACACCTCGCACCTGGCGGCATCAGGACATTCTCGCTTGCGGTGGCCCGGCTTTCCGCACCCATCACAGTTCTTGCAGTCTCTGCGGAGATGTCCTGGCTGTCCGCAGCGGTGGCAGCTCCTGGTCTCTGCCCGTGTCTCTCCTCGCTCCTCTGCCTTCCCTCGCTCCTCTGGTATCATTGCTGCCGCCCAGGTCGGCCTGCGGGTTCTCTCCAGCTGTCTAGGTAGGTATGCCTCATATTTCCTCTGTGCGAGCTCCACTCTTTCGGCTAGCTCGAACACCTCATCCAATCTTGCCTCTGCGCCCAGCTCATACACCTTCATCCGCAGCCCGCCTCCCAGCGCCTCGTCCAGCCCCCCCAGGAACTTACTGATCAGGAGGCTACTATCCGTGCATTTCACATCCTCCGCTACGTTGATCAACCGGTTATAGTATACCAGCAGTGACTCAGTCCTCCCTCGCTTGAATTCCTGAAATTCCCTTATCCTTTCCGCCATGTGTCCTGGGAACTGCCGCTGCAACCGCTCCAAGAACGCTTCGGTGGGGTCTTCTCCGTACCTCCCTGCCCTCCACAGCAGCTCTTCCATCCTCATACGGTACAGAGTCTCGGCTTCCCCATCCAAGGTGTTGGGCAGGCTCAGGAAGAAGTCTATGGGGTCCATGCCATTCCTGTCACAACGATACTTCACATTCCCCACTTGCATCAGATAGTTCTTGAGCGACGGCCCTTCCCTCTGATCGCCTGAGAATCTGGCCGGCACCTCCACCCTTGTCGCCGTGGCCGCACCCCCTCTTCCCTCGCCCCACGACTCACTTACCACTCCCCGCTGTCTCCCATACCCCCCTTTTTGCCCCGCTCGTTCTAGGCCTTCTCTGGCCATTCGTGCCCGCTCAGCCCCTTGCGCCAAGCTACCTGTCTTGGCCCTGCTCTCCAGCTGCTCTCCGTGCATCTCCCTTGACTGGACCCACTGACCCTCTTCCCTTCCCGCCTGCTACCATCGCCGCGCCGGTGAATAATGACTCTGCTCCCATTCCCGGTGGCCGGCTTCACGCGGCTGACGTCTCGCTGGGGTTGGCGACCATTCCTCCCTGCCCTTGCCCTGCTGCCGTGCGCCTGGCTGCGTGCGGTCTGCTTCCTCCCGCCTTCCTTCTCGCCAACGGCGCTGGTCGGGCGACCGCGACACCCCTCTGTGCCCTGCCCCCCACTGCTGCTGCTCGTGCGGTGAGCGTGATCCTTCTTCCCGTCGCCCCTCCCAGTGCCGCTGCGTCTCTGGCGAACGATGCTCTCTCCCACGGCTTCCTCCAGGTGCCCGCGGTGGCGCCGCCGAGCGAACCACATTCTCCTCCACTCCTCCCCGCTTTCCTGCCGCGCCTCCGTACCGATCGGCCCTCGGCGGCGGTTCTCTGGGCGCGCGCGAGCTTCCGTCCCTCGTCTCCGCTCGCCGACGCGGAATTCCTGTCGTGCGCCTGTCCTCTGCACCGCTTCGTCCGCGCGTTCCCCGTGACTGCATCGTCCGGGCCCCTCCCTCGCGAGTCCGGACTTCTTGCTGCAGCGCGTCGGGGGCGTATCGCCTTTCTAGACGCTCGGAGTCCGCGGCACGTGCCCCCTCCTCTCGCGCCTCTCCCTCTTCTTCTTCTGCTGCTGCTGCGGTGTCGGTGTGTTCCGCGCTGGGCGCGCGCTCTCCCTCCACGGCTCCGCTTGGTACGTGGGGCCCCGCTGGCGCTAGATCGTCGCCTTCCGGCTGAGGGTCGCCGTCTTCCTGCTCGTCACCGTGCTCCTGCTCGCCGCCGTACTCCGGCTCGTCGCCGTGTTCCTGCTCGCCGCCGTACTCTGGCTCATCGTTGCATTCCTGCTCGTCGCCGTACTCCGGCTCGTCGCCGTGCGCCCGCCCGCCGCCGTACCCTTGGCTGTCATCGTACGCCGGCTCGTCGCCGTACTCCTGCTCATCCTCCTCGTCACTCTCCTCCCGCGTCCGCTCAGCCCGCGGTTCCTGCTCGACTTGGCGGACGTCAGAGCCTTCTCCCCGCACCCGCGGGAATCCCTCCCTCCCACGCCAGCGGCCTCGCTCATCACATCGCCGGCCTCCCCCTTCTGGGGAGCGGAACACCCCTTCGTCGCGCGGGTGGCGGTGCTCGTCGCCGCGCAGGTGGAACGTGTCTCTCCGCCATGGCGCACCGTTCGTCGGTGTGCCGAGTCTGCCGCCGCCCGTTACGCCCAGCGCCGCCCTACTCTCTCGGCTGGCCGGCACGACGGGGATTCTGTCTGCCCGGAAGGCCGGCCTTCGGGGCGATCTCTCTAGGGAACGCCCACGCTCCTGCGAGCGCTCATGCCGCGGCCCTTCCTCCTCTCGCCGAGTGAAGACCCGGCCCCAACGCAACTCATATTTATCCATGCTACGTGCCTACGCTTGTTTCCTAGTATGAACGGGATCAATCCCTCACCCCTCTGGTTCCCTCTTGGTGGTGTATCACTGCGTGCTAAGAGCTGAATGTGCTAACTTCCACTAATATGAGAGAATACTAGGAAACAAGCATCGAGTGAGTGACTGTGCGTGAGTTTACCCATCCCTGCTCCAGGCTGCACATTTCCCAATGTGCGGCTCGGGGTAGGGATTTGGTTTCCCATTTCGCCCCTCGGTGCTTTCCCTCGTGATTCCAACCGTCCCTTTTCTGTTTCCCCCTCTTTTGCCTATTGCAACCGTTACTGTACTACATTCCGTGCCCTATGCTAGTGTAGCTATATATGCATTTAAGTGCATATATCCTAATATGCTATTCTGCCCCCTACACCCTTATTCTACTGTTATTGCATCTGCATAAAGTGCATATGCGGTGACAAACAGTTAGAATAAAGGAATGTACCCCTTAGAGTACATGGCTACTTATATCTATTTATTATGTGTAATGGATCTTGTCATTTACATTCACAATGCACAAGGTTTCTACCACAAGACGTCCGGTACCAAATCTCTCTAGGGCAGACCTATCCTATCCATGATCCTCACTCTAACAGTGGGCTACAAAGCGGTCGGCCTGTGAAATAGATAACAATTATTTCACTCCGACTACGTTAGCGTTCGCGCCTTCATCAAAAGTTATAAAAATCACTAGTAACCCACTGACTGTCCGACGAATCTCGAGAAACATGGAGGAGGCGGCACTGAACGAAGTGGTGCAACAGTTCCGGGCGATGCATACCAACATGCATACGCTGCCTGATGAGGTCAAGCGCTTGAGGGTGGAAAACGCCGAGCTACGCCAGGCGCGAGGTGAAGTGCGCCAGGAGTCCCCGTTCGTGATGAAGCAAGTAGCAGTTCTATGCCAAACGAGGCCGTTTTCAGTTAGCTTGAAGGTTCCATGGACGCTGCAGAAGAAAGGCGGGTGCGACGGCCGGAGGCAACACCGAGATCGGCAACAGTAGCAGCGATAGTACCAACGGCAGCGGTCGTCTTACTAACTGTCAATATCAAGCTGACAAACCCGCCTCCGTTCAACCCAAGAGATAAGCTGGGACGGGTGACGCTTCTGAAATGGACGGAGCCGGGGCCGATAACCGCACGTGTCAACGCAGTCACAATGAAGTGGGCTATAGCAGCGGCGGTGCAAGGCTACGCCGTAAATCTGTACGAGGTGGCAACCTTCGAGAAAATCCACGACATCGACACGCTCTGCGTTGTTATACCAGAGGACTGTCAGAACTATGCATTTATATGCTCTAGGCTGTAGTGGGGCACTCCTTATGGGGTACAGCTCAATTAGGTTTTGCTATACAAACCTTGTACTGCTGTCATTCTATTCATTCATTCTTTCCTAATTCTGACATGGTTTCAGAGCAGGTTCCCTAGTGGGAACGTTTTTTTTAGGGCCCACCACGATCGAATCTTTTTTTTCCTGCCCTGCCCGAAGCGCGACTCACGCCTGCCTCACCTGCGCTGTCGCGCGCCCTGCCCTACTGCCGCCCGTCGCGGCCCTGCCCTCCCGGCCCGTCATGGCCCTGCCCTAACGGCCCGTCGCGGCCCTGACCTAGCCGCCCGTCGCGGCCCTGCCCTGTCGCCGCCCGTTGCGGCCTGACCTAGCCGCCCGTCGCGGCCCTGCCTTGCCGCCCCCAGTTGCGGCCCTGACCTCGCCGCCCGTCGCGGCCCTGCCCCGCCGCCACCTGTCGCGGCCCTGCCCTCAGCCGCTCGTCGCGGCCCTGCTCTACCGCCGCCCCGTCGCGGCCCTGCCCTGCAGTCGCCTTGTCGCGGCCCTGCCCTGCTGCCGCCCCGTCGCGGCCCTGCTCTGCCGCCGCCCCGTCGCGGCCCTGTGTAGAATTCCACTACTATAGCAGCTTGATAGAGCTTGACAGCATGATTCCAACGCACCAAAGATTGCAAGAAACGGTCCACTATAGCCGGAGATACACACAAACATAGCAGTGGTAATGACTTAGTTGATTTCTGGTTTGTGCTCCCTGGTTTTATACTAGGACGCAATACAAAATAAAAGCACACAAGAAAATGTCGACCCGGGTCGCACGTTGAATTTCGTCGGCGCGAAATTCGGAGCCTTGAATTTCGCCGAGCGAATTCCATTGACTGGAATTCCGTAGACGAGAATTTCCGTGACCAGAATTCCGTCGACCACCGACTGTAACTCCCGTGCGAATTCCGTTGACTTCGACACTTTGCTGCCGAGTTTCAAACCGAACGCGACCCGAGATCGATTTTGCCAAACTGTCCTCAATCTGTCCTCAAACTGTCCCCAATCTGTCCTGACAAGACACTTTCTGGACACTTGAATCGAAAGGTCTCCAGTTCGAAACTCGCGTGCACCATAACCAGCGCCTTAGCAGAAACTGTCCTGAATCTGTCCTGAGACACTTTCAGGACAGATTTGAAGGTCACGAGTTCGAATCCCAGCGCAGGCATTTTGTTGCTCATGGCAGCATTTCCTTCTAACACGCCCCCTTGCTGTCAGGAGCACGCTGGACCAACCCGGCTGCTGCACAACATCGGTTGAAGGCTGCCTTGTCGAGCCGCTTCGTGAAGAAGTCCGCGGGCTGCGCCGTCGTAGGGATGTGCTGCAGCTCCAACTTCTTCATGCGCACCATGTCCTGTAGCCACATGTGGCGACGGTCCACATGCTTCATGCGCCCCTGCAGCCCGCCCGCCTGGCTGAGCTGCACCGCTGACATGTTGTCGACGTACAGGGTGGTGAGAACACCCTTCTTGAGCAGTTGAAACTCCCACAGCAGGAACCTTAGCTTGCGCCCCTCCTTTCCCGCTTCCACCGCAACCACAAGCTCGCTCTCGGTGGAGGAAAGTTTGGTCGCACCCTGCAGCTTCTTGGCCTGCCATGAAACGGCAGCTCCGCCAAGCTTGAAGAGGTAGCCTCCCGTGGACGACCGGTTCTCCTTGTCGCCTGCATCATCCGCATCCGCATACCCCACGAGAGTCAAACTCTCTGGTCCTCCCTTGAACAGCAGCCCCATGTCCGGTGAGGCAGCCCAGTAGGAGAGTGTGCGGAAGAGCTCATGCCACTGCGCATCCGTCCTGAGGTGTGCACCTGCTGCAAGGCGACTGCATGCAAAAGAGAGGTCAGGACGGGTTGAGATGGCTGCAAACTGCACCATGCCGATAATTGACAAGTACTCGGTCATGGTACGGTTGGCAAACTGCCCGGCATCCTTCTTGGCAAAGCTAGCAGAGGAGAGAGGAGTGATCGGCTGCTTCTCGGTGGCGCCCCCTTGAAGAACCGCTGCTGCACCTTCGCCACGTACGCATTCTGGTGCAGGAGGAGTGTCCTGTTGGGGCGATCTCGCACAATCTGCAGCCCCAGGTAGCGCTCCACTGGCTCCACCTCACGGAGCTGAAACGCCTTGGCCAGCAGCCCCTTCAGGTCCTGCAGCAGCTGCTGGTCTTCACTTGCCGCTAGCAGGTCATCCACGTAGATTAGCAGCCACACGCGCTTCCCGCTTGCCCCATCCTTGTAGTATAGGGCCTGGTCCACAAGGCTCTTCTTGTACCCCTCCGCAAGGAGCACCTTGTCCAGCTCCTTGTACCACAAAAGGGGACTCTGCTTTAGCCCATAAAGGCTCTTCTGCACGAGGCACACCTTGCTGCTACTGTCAGTGAAGTAGGGCGGCTGCTGCATGTAGATCTCGTGGTCGATGGTGTCGTGAAGAAATGTATTCTTCACATCAAGCTGCAGAAAATCCAGGTCCATAGCTGCTGCGATTGAGAGGAGCACGCGAACGGTGGTGTAGCTGCCAACAGGAGCGTAAGTGTCGTCGTAGTCGATGCTGAAGCGCTGGCTAAAGCCCTTAGCCACGAGCCTGGCCTTGTACTTCTCCACAGTGCCATCAGGCCGAAGCTTTTTCTTCAGTAGCCACTTTACGCCGACAGTTTTGCGACCTTCGGGTAGGTCGGCCAACGACCAAGTGCCTTGCTCATCAAGGCTCTCCATCTCCTCCCTCATAGCAGCCCACCATTCCTTGCCTTCAGGTCCGGTCAACGCAGCTGCCAGGTCGAGGATGACACCTCCCCAAGCGCCTTCCTCCTCCTCATCCTCGTCCGGGTACTCCACTTCGTCATCGCTGTCCGTGTCGCAATCGTCCTCAGCAAGGTACGCCACGTCGTACGGGTTGTCCTCATCGTCCGCATCCAGGGCCGTCATGGCTGATGGCTGAAACCGTACGGGTGGCACCCCCTTCTTGGGCCTGCTGGAGCGACGTGGGGGTGGTGGAATGGGCTGGATGGGGGGAACTGCAGGTGAAGGCTCATGCTCATGGGCCATTGGTGACTGCTCATCCACTGCTACTTCTCCTTCTCCCTCCTCGTGATCAGCCATGCTGGTGCCAACCTCCAGAGGACCATCCTCTGGTCCCACAGGCGCCGAATCAGCAACGGAGGGTGGACCGAGTGGAGGAGGTGCAGTAGGTGCCTTGCTGCCCAAAGGGCCCACCGAGAGATCAAGGGGTTGCCCGCCCCCTTGCACGGACGGTACCAGGACCACGATGACGGTACGTGGTGGCGGCGGATTCTGCTCGGGGTCGTGGGGCTCAGGGAAGAGAGATTGGACTGAAGCAAAGGGTGGTGTGGGCTGGTCATTCCCGTCACCGACGCGTGCACGCCACTTCTGCCACCGTTCAAGTGACATGTCCTCATAAAAACGTGCATCCCGGGTGATGACCATACGCTTTGACTCAACATCCACCACACGCCATCCCTTACTTTCCATGCTCATGCCCAAATGCATGCCCCAACGAGTCTTGCTTGCAAGCTTTCCCTCACGCTCATGCTCAGGAATGAGGTATTGCACCATGCACCCAAACACACGGACCATGGACACATCGGCCTTGAATTTGAACACAACCAAATGAGGGGTCACACCATGGGGCAGGGTGGACTGGTGCACACGGTTTACCACCCACAAGAACTGCTGGAAAGCAGAGTTCCACCAGTGTGCTTTCACCCCCATGTGCCCCAGCATCACACGCATGCCCTCGGTTACCGTACGGTTGCGGCGTTCAGCCACACCGTTCTGCTGGGGGGTCGAGGGGCAGGAAAGTTGACGCAAGATTCCTCGTTGCTTCAGCAGCAACAGAAACTCATTCGACATAAACTCCCCTCCCCGGTCCGACCGCAACACCTTCAGCGTCATTCCGGTTTGGCGTTCAGCTTCGGGAAGCCATTCCTTGAAGGCAGCAAGCGCGTCGCTCTTCAGCTTCAGCGTCTTCCCCCAGGTGTAACGTGAGGCGTGGTCTACGAACAGAATGTAGTACCTGCTTCCATCCATGGCTGGGGTCTGAAATGGACCGCACACGTTAGTATGGACCAGCCCAAGAACCTGCTCCTCGCGCTCGTCGTGCAGCGAAATGATTCGCGAGTGAGTTTGGCTTCATGGCAAGAGGTGCACGGCATATCCTCACCTCCTTTCTCCAGGTCCATGCCTAACACGCCACCGCTCGTGGCTGTCCGCTTCACCGCATCGAAGTGGACGTGACCAAGGCGAGCGTGCCTCAGGTTGGGCGTTGCCTTGGAGCCCACCGCATACGTCTTAAGGCTGGCCGCTCCGTCAGCAACCGCCTTATGCCATTGCATGTCACTGCAGCCACCGTGCCGTTGCATGCCGCTCCAGCCGTCGCGTCGTTGCAAGCCGCTGCAGCCACCGTGCCGTTGCATGCCGCTCCAGCTGTCGTGCCGTTGCTTGCTGGCCATGGTTTCAGGTCAAGACAGAGAAGACGATGGCGGTAGCGTGCCGTTGCAGCAACTTGTCCTCCCGATGCGATGACGCGGGTGACACCTTCTTCGGTTTGCAGATGTGCTCCTTTGTCCGTGAGCTGTCCAGGGGAGACCAAGTTGGCCTTCATTCCTGGCACAAAGAGGACGTCATGCAGGGTCACACGCAAGCCGTTAGTGCCCTCCAGCAAAACCTCACCAACACCGGCGACTTCCTGCATAGAACCATCAAACCCTTTGACGGATTTCGTTGCAGATGGGTCACAGATCACCGTGAACCACTCCTTGCGGCCGGTCATGTGTTGGGAGCATCCTGAGTCAAGGAACCACAAGTCCTTGTCGTCGGCCAACAACTTTGCAGCCGAACACGCGACGGTGAGCGCCACGCCCTTCCCGTCTCCTTCAGCAACGTTCGCGGCTGCCGCGGGCGTTGCATCCTTCTTCTTGTTGGAGCACTTGGCAGCCATGTGCCCCTCCTCGTTGCAGTTGTAACAGCGCCCCTTGAAGGGGGCTCGCTTCTTCTCCCACTTGCCACCCTTTTTCTTGTCCATCTGCTCCCTTCCTCCTTTCCCTTCCTTCCCGTTGACCCCCGTTGTAGCCACCATCGTGTTGACAGCGCCAGAGGAAGCCGATGCATCACTGGTGATCTGCTTGTAGCTCTGTTCGATGGAGAGAGTCTGCTCCTCCATCAACACCTCGCTGCACACGCGTTCCACCGTCATGTCAGGGCTGGAAATGTCGAGCTTGCGGCGAAGAAATCCGTACTCCGGTGGCAGACCCTTCAGCACGTGAACGGCAAACGTGGCCATGTGGACCTCCTGTCCGATGGTCAGCAGCTCCGCTCGGATGGTGCGGGCCCAATTGCAGTAGGATTCCGCCGTCTCATCATCTCTCTTCCTGAGTTGGGCTAACTGGGTCTGAAGTAGGGAAGCGTGGAGGGCATCACGAGCTTGATAAGTAGACAAGATATATGCCCATGCTAGCTGCCCGGCTTTCTCTTGCTGAGAGAAACCAGAGATAGACATTCGGATGGGTGGAGAAACACATCGGTTCAGCACCATGAATGCAAGCATTTGGCCCTTTGCGTACTCCCTTCGTTGCAAAGGGTTGTTCGGGGCCGGGCTTGGTGCTGTCCCGTTGCAAAACTGCCACAAATCAGCGCACTGGAGCTGAGGTCGGACGGCGCTGACCCACGCAGTAAGGTCGTGCCTTCCCTCCAGCAGCGGCGTCACGGAGATGTGCTCAACTCCAAACTTGAATTGGCCATAGCTCGTGCCGATCATTCCCGTATCAATGGTCGGTACAACAGCTCCTCCATCAATGCCCACAGCACCAGGAGCCTCGTGCGCAGCTCCTCCTTCACCGGTTCCTCCTTGCTGGCCGCTCGCAAGTGCTTGCTCCGCCGCGCGCTCCCGAACCATGCGTAGTAGACGACCGTCCACAATGAGGTCGACCTCCTCATCACGCAAGTTTGGGTGGTGCTCACGAACGGACGCCTCCAGCTCCTGACGGGCATTCAGGCCCTCGGCGCTCGTTAACCACTCCATCCGCGGTCAAAACGAGCGTAGGCCACACCAACGTGGGAACGAAGTGATGGGAGGACGGAATCAAGCCGCTAGTTGGATCGACGCAGATAACGCAGCTCTGATACCATGTAGAATTCCACTACTATAGCAGCTTGATAGAGCTTGACAGCACAATTCCAACGCACCAAAGATTGCAAGAAATGGTCCACTATAGCCGGAGATACACACAAACATAGCAGTGGTAATGACTTAGTTGATTTCTGGTTTGTGCTCCCTGGTTTTATACTAGGACGCAATACAAAATAAAAGCACACAAGAAAATGTCGACCCGGGTCGCACGTTGAATTTCGTCGACGCGAAATTCGGAGCCTTGAATTTCGCCGAGCGAATTCTATTGACTGGAATTCCGTAGACGAGAATTTCCGTGACCAGAATTCCGTCGACCACCGACTGTAACTCCCGTGCGAATTCCGTTGACTTCGACACTTTGCTGCCGAGTTTCAAACCGAACGCGACCCGAGATCGATTTTGCCAAACTGTCCTCAATCTGTCCTCAAACTGTCCCCAATCTGTCCTGACAAGACACTTTCGGGACACTTGAATCGAAAGGTCTCCAGTTCGAAACTCGCGTGCACCATAACCAGCGCCTTAGCAGAAACTGTCCTGAATCTGTCCTGAGACACTTTCAGGACAGATTTGAAGGTCACGAGTTCGAATCCCAGCGCAGGCATTTTGTTGCTCATGGCAGCATTTCCTTCTAACACCCTGCCCTACAGCCGCCCTGTTGCGGCCCTGACCTCACACCAGTTGCGGCCCTGCCCTGCACCCGCCCCTGGTAAGAGCCCGCCCTGCTAAGAGCGCCACCTCGCCCGCCTGCCTGCCGCGCCGCGCCGCCCAGCTGAGCCGCGCCGCCCAGCCGAGCCGCGCCGCCCTGCCGAGCCGCGCCGCCCAGCCGAGCCGCGCCGCCCTGCCGAGCCGCGCCGCCCTGCCTAGCCGAGCCGCCCTGCCCTACTGAGCCGCGCTGCCCTGCCCACCACTGCTCCTGCTGCTACTGCTGCTACTGTCGCCATGGCTAGTCCTAATGTTCTTACCTTCGATGCTGAGGGTCGTGCGGTTGACTTCGACATTTGGGTAGATGACATGCAGCTCTTTCTTTAGTGCGACTCTAGGGACGGAGTCTCAATTTTCGATCACACGTCCGGCGTCTCTGCTGCACCTGCTGCCAGTGCTGACAGTACGGTTCGCTCGCAATGGACTACTCGTGATGCTGTTGCTCGCCTTGCTGTTCGTAGTCACCTGCCGTCTGCTGAGCGCGCAAACTTTGGCCAGTACAAGACTGCTAAGTCTTTGTATGACGCTGTCGTAGCGCGCTACTCCTCCCCTGCCAATACTGCCCTCAGCCGCATCATGCTGCCGTACCTGTTCCCTGAGCTAGCCGCCTTTGCCACAGTCGCTGACCTCATTACTCACCTCCGCACAAGTGACGCCCGCTACCGCGCTGCGCTTCCCTCCGAGTTCTGCGCCAAGAACCCCCCCCCCATGTACATCACCCTCTTCTACCTAGTCACCCGTCTCCCTGACTCCCTTTGCTCAGTCAGGGACCACTTTCTCTCCCTTTGCCCTACCGAGCTCACCGTCGACCTGCTAGAGGAGCGCCTCACTGCAGCTGAGAAGAGTATAGTTGCTGTAGGTGCTTCTCGCGGCGACCCTCGCGCCCCTTTCTTTGAGGGGTGTTCCCCCGTTCCCCTTCTGCCCTCTGTTGCTTCTGCTGCTGCTATCGACCTCGTTGGCACCGAGGAGTTCGGGGCTGCGTCTGCTCCTAGTGGGAGGCGCCGCAGTGGCAAGGGCAAGGGGCAAGGGTGGTGGAGGGGACAGCGGGGGCGGCGGTGGTGGCGGTGGAGGAGGCGGAGGGGGTGGGGGTGGAGGCAAGGGTGGTGGCGGGAGTGGGGGCGTCGGTGGCGGCGGTGGAGGTGGTGGAGGCAGCGGTAGTGGCGGTGGAGGCAGTGGCAGCGGCAGTGGAGGTGGCGGCGGCGGTGGTGCTGGTCGGGGTGGAGCCGCGCAGCGTGGAGGCTTTGGCGGTAGCCAGCGCCAGCAGCAGCCGCGTTCCCGTGAGACCCCGTCGCCCCAGCAGCTTCGTGAGTGGTACGCTGGGCGTGGGAGGTCTGGGGGTGCTGGTCCCTGCACTTACGTTCTCCGCACCGGCGGGCGCCGTAGGGAGACGTGCGGGCTGCCACACACGACGCAGCGCTGTTTCGGTCGCCTGACTGACGCCTGGCGCGCCCAGTTTCCTGACGGCGCTGAGCTCCCTCGCTGGGGTGATCTGCTTAGGCAGAATGTTGCTATCTTTGATCTTGATTTTGATGCTATCCTTTCTGCCATGTATGCTGTGACTGATAGTGCTGAGGGTGACTGTTACCTGTATGTTCCGCCCGACCCGGGCATTGAGGCTGCTGCTCTAGGTGCTAGTGAGTCTGCTGCTCCAGGTGCTAGTGAGTCTGCTGCTCCAGGTGCTGGTGAGTCTGCTCTCTCTGGTACTGCGCCTGCTGAGGCCTTGCACACCTTCACACTTGACTCAGGTGCTTCCCGCTCCTTCTTTCGCGACAGCACCACACTCACGCCGCTCAGTCGGCCGGTTGCAGTCTCCCTGGCGGACCCCTCTGGGGCCCAGTCCTTGCGCACTCCTCCACGGTTCTGCCGTGTCCGGCGGCCCCGTCTGGCTCACTGTCGGGTCTTCACCTCCCCTCGTTCTCTACGAACTTGGTGAGTGGAGCTGACCTCCAGGACGTGTGGGTTGACCATGTCACCGCTTATGCATGTGATGCATAAGCAATAACAGGAATACAAGGGGTGAAGGAATAGTAATAGATGATAACCTTACAATTGCATTTCAAGTAGATTAATGAGTAGTGTATAGTGTAGCGAGGTTACTGTTGGAATAGGCCTAGAAGGGGGGGGACGGAATGTGAACGGTGGGGAAGTCTCGGGGGGGGGAAAGCCTCGAAGTGCGAAATGTGGGACAAAGGGCGAAATGTCCCAACCCCGAGCTGCGCATTGAGGAATGTGCAGCACGGGGTTGGGCAGGGTAAGGCCAAGCACTCACAGAGCACTCGTTGCTTGTTTCCTGGTATTCTCTCAGAATAGTGGAAGATATTGCTCTAAGCTTTGCACACAGCGGTACGCCACCAAGAGGGAACCAGTGGGGTGAGGGAGAGATCCCGTTCATACCAGGAAACAAGCGTAGGCACTTAGCATGGACAAGTATGAGTTACGATGGGGCCGAGTCTTCACTCGACGCGAAGAGGAAGGGCCGCGGCCCGAACGCTCGCGGGAGCGAGGGCGTTCCTTAGAGCGGTCGCCCCGAAGGCCGGCCTTTCGAGCTGATAGAGTTCCCGTCGTGCCAGCCAGCCGAGAAAGAGAGGCGGTGCAAGGCGTGCGTGACGGTGGCCGACTCGGCGCGATGACGAGCGACGTACCGTGGCGGAGGAACACGTTCCACCTTCGCGGTGACGAGCATCGCCACCCGCGCGACGAAGGGGTGTTCCACTCCCCAGAAAGGGGGGGTCGGCGGCGGGATGAGCGAGGTCGCTGGCGTAGGAGGGAGGGATTCCCGCGGGAGCAAGGAGTGGGCTCTGGTGTGCACTGGGCCGGACAGGATCCGCGGGCCGAACTGACGCGGGAGGAGCGTGAGCACGAGGAGGCTGAGCGGGAGCTTGGCGACGGGCCGGCGTACGACGACGGGCAGTGGCACCGCGACGAGCAGGCACACGGCGAGGAAACGGAGCGCAGTGACGAGCCTGAATACGGCGACGAGCAGGATAGCGACGGTGAGCAGGAGCATGGCGGGGAGCAAGAGCGCGATGAAGGGCAGGAGGCCGACGGCGAGCGGGCGCACGGCGGGGAACAGGAGCACCACGACCCGCGGCGGGACGGCGGCGAGCAGACGCGCGCGGGACCCCACGTCCCAGGCGGAGTCGTGGAAGGAGAGCGCGCGCCCGGTGCGACACACGCCGGCACCACAGAGACAACGACAGAGGAGGAAGGAGAGGCGTAGGAGAGGGGTTCGCGTGCGACGGGCCCCAACCGTCGGGAAGGACAGCCTGCCCGCGGTGCACCGCAGCCGGAAGGCCAGGCTCGGGAGGGAGGGACACGCACGATGCCGACGCGGGGAATGCGCGGACGAAGCGAGGCAGGGGACAGACACGCAACGGGAGTCCAGCGTCGGCGGGCGGAGGCGAGCGACGGCGGCTCGCGCTCGTCAAGGGAACCGCCGCCAAGGGCCGAACGGTATGGGGGCGCGGAAGGAAGACGGGGAGGAGCGGAGGAGAGCACGGTTCGCTCTGGGGCGCCACCGCGGGCGCTGGGAGGAGGCCATGGGGGGGAGCATCACTCGCCAGAAACGCGGCGGCGTAGGGAGGGGCAGCGGATGGAGGGGTCACGTTCACCGCACAGGCGGCAACAGTGAGGGGGGGGGACCAGAGGAGAATCGCGGTCGCCCGAACGGCGCCGTTGGCGGGAGGAAGGGCGGGAGGAAGCAGGACGCGCGCCGCCAGGCACACGGCTGCAGGAGAGAAGGGAGTGGTCGCCACCCCCAGCGAGACATCAGCCGCGTGAAGTCGGCCCGAGGGTGTGGGAGCAGAGTCATTACTCGCCGGAACGACGATGGGAGCAGACGGGAAGGGGAGGTAGTCAGTGGGGACAGTCGGGAGAGGTGCGCGGAGGGAAGCAGGAGAGCAGGGCCAGGAGTGGCAGCTTGGCCCAGGGGGCTGAGCGAGCCCGTATGGCCAGAGAGGGACTGGAACGAGCAGGTCAAGGAGGGGGGTATGGGAGACCGCGGGGAGGGGCAAGTGAGTCTTGGGGAGAGGGAAGAGGAGGTGGGGCCACGGCGATAAGGGTAGAGGTGCCGGACAGATTCTCGGGAGATCAGAGGGCGGGGCCATCACTCGAGAACTACCTGATGCAGGTGGGGAATGTGAAGTATCGGTGCGACCGGAACGGCATGGACCCCATTGATTTCTTCCTAAGCCTGCCCAACACCTTAGATGGAGAAGCAGAGACTCTATACCGTATGAGGATGGAGGAGCTGCTGTGGAGGGCGGGGAGGTATGGAGAGGACCCCACTGAAGCATTTTTTGAGCGGTTGCAACGGCAGTTCCCAGGGCACACGGCGGAGCGCATAAGGGAGTTTCAGGAATTCAAGCGAGGGAGGACCGAGTCACTGCTGGCGTATTACAATCGGCTGACCAATGTGGCCAAAGATGTGAGATGCACGGACAGCAGTCTCTTGATAAGTAAGTTCCTAGGTGGCCTGGACGAGGCACTGGGAGGCGGGCTGCGTATGAAGGTGTATGAGCTGGGCGTGGAGGTGAGCCTGGATGAGGTGTTCGAGCTGGCCGAAAGGGTGGAGCTCGCACAAAGGAAATATGAGGCGTATCTGCCGCGGCAGATGGAGAGAGCCCGCCGGCCAACCTGGGCGGCAGCCATGATACCAGAAGACAGAGGGAAGGCAGAGGAGTGAGGAGAGACACGGGCAGAGACCAGGAACTGCCACCGCTGCGGGCAGCCAGGGCATCTCCGTAGGGATTGCAAGAACTGTGATGGGTGCGGGAAGCCTGGCCACCGCAAGCGAGAATGTCCGGATGCCGCTAAGTGTGAGGTGTGCAAGAGGAGGGGGCACGAGGCCAAGGACTGCTATCAGAGGGAAGGAGGAGCCAGGAGGAGTCCTGAGGATTTGCAGCGGCAGATCAGCAGGTTGCAGGCACAATTACAGGCAACAGGACCAAGGTGGGGGGCGGAGGCAGGGATGTACGCCAGAGACGAGGAGGGAGAGGAGGTAGAGCAAGACCTGCAATGTGCACTTATGGCATGGAGGGGAAGAGAGGAGATGGGGCTAAGGAGCGGGGGGAAGGATGGCAGGCGGGAGCAGAGCAGGAAGGTCCGGGGAAGGGGGCAGAACCCAGAGGAGCCAGAGGTGGTTCCGCCGCCTGCACGCCATCCACAGGAGAGGCTGGCATGTCAGACCTCAGTGTTGTTACTGGAGGAAGGGGCGATGGAAGTGGAAGGAGAAAGAGTAAAGACTGCCATCATAGACACGGGGGCACAGAATGTGATGCTGGGAAAGGGGATGGCTGAGAGGTTAGGGCTCTTGGCGCCGGGCAGGCATGTGAAAAAGGGGATGTTGGTGATGACAGCAGAGGGGGGGGAGCCAAAATGGATGCCCTGCTCAAGGGCACCCATAGAGATGACACTACTGCCAGGAGGAGAGCATGAGACCAAGATCCGGATGAGATGTGGCATCTCCGAGTCTGAGGACTTTGACGTGTTGGTGGGCACAGAACTGGTGTTCGCGGTGGGCATGACCATATGCACGTGGACCGAGAGGGTGGCATTCCGCACGCGGTACTGGAAGAAGGAGGGGCCACTAGGAGAGCTGCCAGTACGATTCGTGAAGGTGGAGCCCAGGAGAGCATACCAGGCTGTGGCGGGACAGGAAGCAGAGACAGGAGAGGCTTGGGAGAACGAGAGAGTGTGGGGTACCAAGGGAGTGCCCAGAATGAGGATGATGAACGAGCCGAGGTTGCAGAGCGACTGGCAGCAGCCCATTCGCTTGGTGGAGCTGTTTGGAGGGATTAGGGCGGGGCTAGCAGCAGTGGTGAGAAGTGGGGTAGCAGTGCAAAAATGGGTGTACGTGGAACGCGCACCCGCGGTAAGGAAGATGACCGAGCATCACGCGTGGAAGCTGCAAGCGGAATTCCCAGAGCTTCTAAGTGCAGGAGTCATCCGCGAAGCCATGGGGGGGGACAGCCATGACGTGGCACAGTTGACAGAGGCGGAAGTGGCCAGCTGGGGGCAGGTAGATCTGCTGGTGGCGGGGTGGGAGTGCCAAGGGGTATCATGGGCAGGCAAAGGGAGAGGAAAGGGGGACCCAAGGACACAGTTGATGGAGGACCTCTTCCGTATCCTGGAGTGGCTGCAAGAGAGGCAGGGGAGAGTGGCCTACCTGGTGGAGAATCTGGACTTAGAGGGAGACAGTAGGGAGCCAGTACGGCTGGTGCGGGAGAGGATCAGGGAGCAATTGGGAGAGGGGGTGAGCAGCGATGCGGCCAGAATGGGATCACGGGCTCACCGACTGAGAATGTACTGGCAGAACATAGTCCCAGCTCCGAAGCTGCAGGAGGAGATAGAGGGGGTGAGGAGGGCGCCAGAGAGGAAAGTACAGGATATCCTTGAGCCAGGACGGACCCCAGCGCCGGTGGACAAGAAGGGATACAGCAGGCACTACCCCTGCAACCAAGTGGGACAGGAACGGCGAGCGCTGCCCACTCTGGTTGCATATGTAGGGGCGGCAGGGTATACATGGGCAGCGGGGGAGCCGGGCCCAGGACTCATCTACGATCACAGGAAGAAGCGGTGGGAAGAGCCGACCGCACTGGAGCGGGAACTGGCCTTGGGGTACGGGGAGAATGCAACGGCGGCTCCTGGGGTGAGCGAGGCTGACAGGAGAAGAGCCCTAGGGAATGCCATGGACGGCAACATGATGAGATGGCTGGTCCAGCGGATGTGGAGAGAGACGGTGATGTGCTGGGGGCAGGAGGAAGGAGTAGGGGGCACAGAGCCGCGCCCTCAGGGGGCGTGGGCATGCCAGGAGAAGGAGGAAGAGACATGGAAGGTAGGGGAGGCGATGAGTGAGGAAGGGAGGGAGGCCATGGTGCGGCTGTTGACCAAGCACAGGAGGTGCTTTGCCTTCAACATGCAGGAGTTGGGAAGGTGCAAGGTGAAGGAGATGGAGCTGAAGCTGAACAGTACGGAGCCCGTGTTCAACCGGAGGAGGAAGACGCCACACGGGGATGAGGAAGTCTGCAAGGAGAAAATCAAAGAGCTGCTAGAGGCCGGGTTAATCAGGCAGTCAGAGTCGGAGTACGCCACGCCCACAGTCGTAGCTGCCAGGAAGGACCTGACAGGGAAGGTCCTGAGCAGGAGAATGTGCGGAGACTACCGGGCGCTCAACAAGATCACCGTAGTAGACAGGTACCCCATGCCCATGGCGGAGGAGATATTTGACAAGCTGGCGGATAGGGTCTTCTTCACCACGTTAGACCTGAGGCAGGGGTTCAACCAAATCAAGATTAGAGAGGAGGATGTCAAGAAGACGGCCTTCCATGGGCCGGATGGGCTGTATGAGTGGCTATGCCATTCGGGCTGAGGAACGCATCGGCAGTGTTTCAGCGGGTTATGGATGCAGTACTGAGGGAGGTGGAGTGTGCGGCGTGCTACATAGACGACCTAGTGATCCTCGGTGCCACCAAGGAGCAGCATCTGCGGGATGTGGAGAAGACACTGGCGGCAATAGAAGCAGCGGGACTCACATGTCACCCCAAGAAGTGCAGGTGGGGTGAGGAGACAGTGCAGTACCTGGGATACGAGGTGAAGGGAGGACAGATTGGGATCCAGCAGGCTAAGGTAGAGGTCTTGGACAGGCTGCGGGAGCCAAAGGACAAGTCGGGGCTGAGGGCGGTGTTGGGCTTCCTTAGCTACTACAGGAGGTTCGTGCCCAACTTCAGCAAACGTGCAACAGCCTTGAACGGGCTGCTGAGGGAGGACAGGGCATGGGAATGGGGAGAGGCTCAGAAGGCAGCCCTGCAGGACCTTATGACAGCAGTGAAGATGGCGACCGTGTTACGGCTGCCAATAGCAGACCAGCCATTCACCCTCTACACCGACTGGAGCAGCCAGGGAATGGGAGGGATACTCTGCAAAGAAGTGCAAGGGGAGGAGAAGGTAGTGGCCTACGCGAGCAGGAGCTGCAACTCGGCGGAGGCGTAGTACAGCTCGTACATAGGGGAGGGACTAGCCGCGGTATGGGCGGTGGGGCATTTCAGGGTGTACCTGCAAGGACGGGAATTCACGTTGGTGACGGATCACCAGCCACTGACCTGGCTGATGACTACGCCGGGACTGACAGGCAGGAACGCACGATGGGCGATGAAGTTGCAGGAATACGACTTCAAGATTAAGCACAGGCCGGGGAAGACACTACAGCATGTGGATGGCCTCTCTCGCAACCCCCCACAGCTGGAACCGAGCGTAACCTTAACACTGCTGGCCAGACAGGTAGAAGTGGGGGGGGCCAAAGGGGGCAAGGGGCCGGCAGATATTTGGGAAGACGAGCAGGCCATGCGGTGGGTGAAGGGAGAGACGGAGGAAGATGAGGAAATGACGGAGAGAGTGAGGGCCAGGGGGCACCACTATAGATGGTATCAGCAGCAGTTGCAGATCCAAACCGAGGATGGATGGAAGCTGGTGCCAGCACCAAGGGACAGGGAAGCTGTGATCAAAGAGGTGCACACGAAACTGGGGCACTTCGGACATGAGAGGACAGTGCAGCTGCTGAAGACAGGATGGTGGTGGGAGGGGATGCGGAGGCAAGTGAAGGGCTGGGTGGAGGGCTGTGAGGCATGTCAGAGGAGCAGGGCAAACCTCAGCCAGGCTAAAGCCGAGCTGCAGTCCCTGCCCATCTGAGGCCTAGGCTTCAGGTGGTCCTTGGATCTGGCCGGGGAACTGCCCCTGAGCAGGGGGGGTAAGCGCTACATCGTGCTCATGGTGGAACACGTGAGCAAGTGGCTGGAGGTGAGGGCCATCTCCAGCAAGAGCTCCAGGCAGGTGGCAGCGGCGTTCAAGGAGCAGGTGATCTGCCGATTCGGAGCATGTGCAGAAGTCCTCACAGACCAGGGGACTGAATTCCAGGGGGAGTTCAAGACGCTGCTAGAAGAGACGGGGATCACTCACAGGCGCACCTCCCGCTACCACCCACAGAGCGATGGGCTGACAGAGCGGCTGGTCCAGACCTTGAAGCGGGGACTGAGGGCATACGGGGAGAAGAGGAAGCGGGTTTGGGATGAGGAGCTGCACTGGATTGCAGCAGGATACAGGTTTGGGAAAC